ATGCCGAAATTAGCATGAAAGAAGAGTTGAAACTCATAGATTTCTCCCTCAAACTCCCTACAGTGAATTACGGCTCCTAGACCGCCGCTCACCCTCATTGCTATCGCGGATTCCTCTGTCAAGCATAACCAATTCGCTGCTGTGAGGGAGAGGATAAGGGAAGGGAATTGAGAGAATGGAGGAGAACTCGAAGGCTTTGGAAGCCCCCATTCGAGTAAACCAACGAATAAATGGTGTTAGAGGTAGGTGGGGAGAAGGGTATGGAAGTTTAGGAAATAATCAGGTTTAATTAAATTAATTAAGCATATAACTTTCAAGTTTTATATCTTTGAAACCATTTGTAATTTATACATAATATTATATATTAAATTGATCGTTTTGACACAGAATTTTATAACATAAACTGGTTAAAATCTGAGGAATCTGAAATTTTTGGTACTTTTTAGATCACTAAAAATTTTATCCAATTTCTCAAAATGAATTATTACATGCATACAGCTCAAAATCCTACGAGAATATGTTGACTAAGATGGTTACAACTGAAAAATTAAAGATATGTTTGGCTTCAGTAAGAATTCAGGAAGGATGTGAATGGGAGTGAACCACATTATAGTATATGACTATGAAGATGACGCAAGTTTGGATTAGAGAAGATTTCGATCAATGTTCAAGTGGGATATTGTATGTGTGGATGTTGAATATATCTAGGCAGAAAAATTGAATCCTACATCTGCACTGAGCGACCTAACGCTTGGTTAGGTATGGGCGACCCATCGCCAGAGAGGGCCCACCAGCGCATGGCTAGTATGGGTGATCCATCGCCAGAGAGGGCGATCCAGAGCCCAGATGAATGTCTTTTGAAATAGAGCCATAAACAATCCATCGCCCAGGACACGTGCAGTCGTGCCCAGATATACTCATTAAGTGTTCGAAACAGAGTGTCTGGAAACTCGACGCTCGAGGCAAACCATCTGACGCTAGAAATAGTTTGAACAATCTAGACATTCAAGTGCTTGATGCAGAATTTGGAGAAGCTCTTGGCAATGCATGAAAAAGGGCGAAAAACAGAATGAACGGTGCGTGTAGAAGAGCATGTGAAGTTCTATGGGTGCATTTCTATAATTTTTATGTATGATCGAGAGAGAAGCGTTCATTTTTTTTAGGATTGTAGAGAAGATTTGAGTATGGTTTAATCTGTTCATTTCATAGTGAATTTCTTGTTGTGGTGTACCTCCATAATTTTTTTTTCCATTTTCAGATTTTTCCACATTAAATCTGTGTTCAGTTTTCTAGGTTTATTATTTGTGCACTTCTGTTCAATCATTTGATTCGGATCTCTTAAATCCGTGTTTTTTATATATCTAGAGAAGTGAATATCTCCCCAACATTATCTTCCCTATACTAAATCCAAGGTTAACCACACATACATAAATCTTTTATACCAAGCTCTAAGTGCCTAAGCCCGCAATAATATTTTCTTTAATTTATATACAAAATTTAAAGGAATTTGTTCATTAAAACCCAGCTGTTGTTCAGCAAACATTTCTTCTATTACGCCATTTAGTAATGCATTTTGGCATCCATCTAATATAGCTTAAGTTCCTTGTAACATGTGAATGCCAAAATTAGTCTAAGCATCTAATCTAACAACAGGCGAATGAGTCCTCGAAGTCTATTCATTCAACCTAACTATAGCCTTGTGCAACTAGTCTAATCTTATTCCTAACTATAGTTTCTAAATCATTAGCCTTATTTTTTAATACCCAATTTGTCCCAATTAAATGTGAATCCTTTGGTCTAAATACAAATTCCCAGACACCGTTCCTAATAAATTGATTTAATACCTCATGCATTGTGTTCATTCAATATTCATCTTTTTGAGCTTCATTAATAATGGAATATCCTATCAGAGATATGAAAGCTGAGTGAGCAAACTCATTTCTAAGTGCATTTTTTGTCCTTATGCCTTGAACTTGAATACTTGCAATTAATTCCTTAAGATGATTAGAGGCCTATCTCCACTCCTCGGACAACTTTGGAGTTGGGGGTCACCATTGCTAACTTCAGATCAATTGAAGCTTAAAATTTATAATTTATCAATCTTTTCATCATCTAGATCTCTCAATTTAGGTAGTCCTTGAGTTTACTCATCAAATATAACATGAATAGATTCTTCTACAATCAACGCTCTCCTATAAACACCCTGAATGCCTTACTATGATGGGAAAAACCTAGAAATATTCCTTCTTCACATGACAGGTCAAATTTACTAAGACTGCTTTTTTAACTTTCCAATAGGAATTACTTGCATCTACAAAAAAAATGTGATACATTTGGTTTCTTCCCTTACAAGATTTCATATGGTAAATAATGGATTGTAATCGATCATATATTAACTCTATTAATTGCAGAATAAGTGACATCTACTGCTTCATCCCAGAGATATTTTAGAAATTCAATCAACTAGGTTTTGGCTATATCATTATTTTTCACTCTACAATTTCACCTTTTTAATTCTATAAGTATAATCTGTCTATTGAAAAAGGCAAATTTTACTCTCATTGTGGCAATATAAATACATAGATAAACAATGTTAACAAAACATTGTTTTAATAGATGATTTAACTTTAAGGATTACCATGAGTTTGTAAGAGTTTTATTCTAAATCTTTTGTTTTTTCTAAGAGCCTTTTCGTTAATCATCTCATTAATAATATATTTTTACTTCAAAAAAAAAAATCAAATTTTGAGAGAGTTTCATTTTAAAATGAAGCTTTCATCTTAACACTTCTAGAAGAAAAAAAATCCTCTCTCCTACTTATTATAAGCTATATAGATGACTATAAACTGTCAAGAAAATAAAATTAAATTCTCACAACCTTTTCTACAATGCATCAATTGGATTGAATGAGTAATTAAGCTAGTTGCGGGGTAAAAGTACAAAGGATGAAGTGAGAGATGATTAACTTGAGAAAAGAAAGGTGTTGTGCATATTCAAGATCAATTAGCTATGAGTAAATTAAATGCTTAGGGAATGGCATAAAGACACAAAAATAAGATTGGCAATTAGATTACTGGAAATTTATAGCAAGAAAAACATCAGGACGGAAGTTAACATAGCTAAGACTTGTACACAAGATTCGGATAAACTAGATTTAACATCAGTAGCACGCGATAGGAATAAAAGGAAGAGGAGTGAGAAAGCCGAGTCCATTTAGTTTGAAATGGTTGTTGCAGGAAGTGTTCAAGACATCAGTAAAAATACAGTTAAAAAAGCAGTAGCGGAGATCAAATAGTGGCAGAGGTGCAAGAACAATTTGATTATAGGAACTTCACTGTAATTCTCTCTCTCTCTCTCTCTCTCTCTCTCTCTCTCACACACACACACACACACCACACGCGCGCGCGCACACAGAGAGAAGCTGTTTTAAGTGAGGGGATAAGAAAAACGCCAATTAGAATTATGGAATTTATAAAAAGATGGCAAATCAAAGGTGGGCAGTGGTGGCTAAATAGATGGAAGCAAGCATGTACAGGTTAGGTTTACAATAATCTGTAGAAGACCAATATGCTGTTATACTAGTTAACGTAATATTAAATATATCTGATAAGATTGGGAAGACAGAAAGAGCTCCAAGCAAAGGGGGAAGAAACAAAATGCTAAAAAGAGAGGAACAAGGAAAATTTTAAAGATGGGCAGAAAATCTCATAGAGTGGACAATAAAGTGAACCATGGCTCAAGGTTTCAATGCAATATTCAGATCCATGATAGAATTGGCCCTTATTTATACTCCTTTCCCAACAACTAATAAGACAAGAGACATTGCAGAATAAAAATACTCCAGCTAAAAAAGAAAAGTAGAATAAACAGACATAGTAGAGAATAAAACAAATGATTCAAACAAGATAGTTTTGTTGACCTCTATACATTCTACTACAAAAATAACACATGGATTATAAAGATTGAGTATGACATAATTTCTAGCTAAAATTTAATATTTTTGATACTTCAAGCTGAGGTTTTCCCTAAATCATGTAGTAATTTTTACTCAGGTTACAAACCGAGTGCATTGTAGTAACTGCTAGTCAAATCAGAGTCCGTCCACATCCCTTCAGAGTGGAATTCACTTATGACAAATCATACTTATTACATAGTACAATAATAGCACCATGAATTTTAAATAAACCCCTAACTAAGGGTAAACCTAACATTGATCATATAATGACAATTATCACCACTTCATGGTTGACAAGCCAAACAAATAAATCAAAGAAAAAAAATAGTATGGTTAATAAAAACTCAGGATGCCAACGATCAAGATTTTATAGATTTCTTCACAATGTTTTTCATAAAACAAAACTACTAAAATAATTATAGATGGCAAAAAACTTACCGGTAACCGTATTGTTCTAGATTGATCAGAAAGAGATTTTCGAACAAATTGTCTAATCCACCAATGTGCATATGTAGAAAATTTAAATCCTTTTGAAGCGTCAAACTTCTCAGCACCCCTTAACAATCCACGACATCCCTCCTATGGACAAAATTGAAGACAGTACTTAGATGAATGCCGCAAAAAATAGTTACAAGTAATGCACTTCAAATAACGTAATAATAAGACCTGAACAAGATCTTGGATGCTCATCCCTGCACCTTGAAAATTTTTTGCAATCGAAATAACAAGCCTTATGTTGCTTTTGATCATCCTGTCCTTGCAATGAGTTCCATAGTTTAGGCGCTGCCTAAGAGTTTTTGTATCGAGTCCAGCTGCTGCTGCCCACTCAAAAGAAGTTGGTTGGCGGTCAAACCTTCCTAAAAGCTCCTCTTGGATTCTCTCAAGCTTTAGCAATTCCTGCATTAGATCATTACCAGTGAATTCTTTTCTAAATTTCTAATATAGATGAAGTAATATTTTTCTTTGCACTCGTACTTAAGATGTAGGGATCAGAAAAGGAAACAATTTAGCATGTTAAAGAAAATCTTACAGGAAACCAAAGAGATGAAAAAAACATACCATATTACATAGCTTATACCTAAACTCTAATATTTACAAGCACACATCACATAAAAAATACAACTGTTATTAACTTTTAAAAGTCAAATGTACCATCCTATGGATAAGTTTATAGCACCAAGATGTTATAAATGTAAGAATCAAACTTTAGGTGTTATATTTGTAAATCTAAAAAAAGGAATAATAATAATAACTGTGTGGTATGTACGTAAATTTCCCAAAAAAAAAAAAAAAGGAATAATAATAAACACAAGATACAAGAAGAAGAATTTTGGTAGAATCCAAAATAATTCCAACAACCAAGAACAAGCCTCTTCAAATATTTCTATAAGCAGATACGAAACTTCAAAGATGTGTGCAAGATGCGGATTCTTATTCCACAAGCATTGATAAGGGAACACTTGGTTGACTTTACAAGGGTTAACGTTTATAACACATTTGTTTCTTCAGTTTCTTTATCTTCGAGTTAAATACTTCCATCTGCATCTTGACATATCTGCTCTATTTTTCTCAATTCTTTCACTGGTTTCAAAAAGTCTGTTTTCGCCACTCTTTTGGAAATATTTGTTTTCTTTTCTTTTTCTAAAAAGTCTAGAAAGAGATTCAAGCCCAATATGATTATGGTATATTCAACTTTTATTAACCTTGTAAACTAGGAAATACTCCCAGATGGTTCTTAATGGTCCAGCTACCATATATTCGTGAAGTTAAAACTTTTCCAACCGGAAATATAATGTGATCAAATTCATTTTACAATAAATAAAGACAAAGGATTAGTCAACAAAAAAATGCTATATGTGTTGATGATACAAGTCATAACTTCTATGCCAAATGATCTGCAAAAAGGAAATATCATATATACCCCTGATATTAGAAAATGATTCAGCACTCTGTGAACTAGCCTTGGAAGGGTGATCCAAGCCTCTTTCTTGCTGTAGTAGGAGGTTGACATTTAGGGCCGTGCCATGAAGAGGGATTTAGGAAATGATCCACTCATCAAGGGAATGTTGGGAGATATGTTCTTAAGTTTAGGGTGATCCAAAAGAGCTTAGGAATGTGTTAAAAAAGCTAGTCCAAGGAGTGTTTGGCTGCACCCAGGATTTAACTTAAATAGGATTGAGTAAATCCTGTAAATCCAGATTTATCAAATCCAAATGTGTTAAATTCAGAATAGTTGATTAGGTTTAAATCCAGTTAAATCCCTTTAAAGTGTTTCGCGATGAGGGAAGTGATAATTCGCATGTGTGTATTCTTCCTCACTTAAATCCGTTAAATCCATGTAAAAATTGCATTTAATAAATCCAGGATTTACGCCAAAACGGACAAAAAATCAGATTTGTGGGCAGTGGGATTTAACTTATTATTTTTTTGTGTTTTGATGGATTTATGTTAAATTCTAATATAAATCCTAATAAAAATGCATACCAAACACCCCCCCAAGGCCAGGGAAGGCTAAGTTTGGGTGGACTTTTAACTAGCCTTGGAACATTGCATCGGAGGAAGGTCCTAATAGTGTGTGAAGGAGCCACAAAGGATTAGAAGTATTTGAGAATGTTTGGAGTACATATCTTGTTTTTGGAGGGAATCAAAGAAGGCTGGAAGAAAATAAAATTGGTCAAGATTTGCCCTAAATTGTCCAACTGCTTCAAGAAAACTTAAGAAATTTTTTTATTGATGCTAATAGAGATAAAACATATAGATTGACGCTAGAAAGATTGGCAAAAAATTTAGAAGAGACTGGAAGAAAGATCAACAAGTAAAAAAGACATACATATGAATTTCACCAAAACAAAAGCCAAGGAAAGAGGTTGGGCAACAAACTCTTAAATTTAGAGTTTTTACTCTTAAACTTTTTATCAAAGCGCCAAAATCTCTACTTAATTAAAAAATATATTTAAACTATTACATAAAATTCTAATATTTGAAACTCAAGAAACTAAGTGAGGAGAACAAAATTCAAACCTACGAAAATAACTATGAAAATGGAATGGAATCACTCTAATTGGAGCCACAACAGAATGGCAAGAGCTAAAAGCCTCTAAAAAAGAAAATAAATAAATGGAAGGATAAAGTATATTAAAAACTTACAATATTTCTTGTTTAAAATTAAGCAATATAAGACATAACTTAGTGTTTTTACAAAAAATCATAATGATGCTTATGCCTCATTTTCCCCAGGGTGTGGCATATGCCTCACCCGCGTTGAGTTGCACCTCAAGGCACGACTCTCTTGAATAAAATGCTTCAAATTTTTTAGCCTATTCACTTTGTATGACCCAACTTGAGGAACATTAGCATAATCCTTGAATATAAATTGATGAAGACTGGAGATCACTTATATTCATACAAAAAAATTTAAATAATATACTCAAAGTTGGGTCATACAAAGTGGACCTTGAATACAATTAGGGAATTTTTTTGTATGAAGAAGAACTTGAATCTTCATACAAAGTTGGATTAAAATTTGATGAAGATTCATGGTCCACTTTGTATGACCCAACATTGAGTAAGTGAACATTAAATTTCAATTAATACAAACTTGAAGAACTTTAGCATAATCCCCTGATTGTCATGGGGCCTGTTGCTTATAAGTGCGGGTGGCGTTTTGAAAATGTTGTCACACCGTTTGGTAAACGCGTTTGAACAACTTATAAAAATACGGCGTTTTTAATTTCTGAAAGACACGGCCCGCAAGATGATAGTTGCGGTCTGCGTTCGATGAAATTGTATCACAACTTTGCCCTCTTGCTCCATTTGATCGCGTCTGCCCTACCCTTGCTCCATTCGATAGCGCCCTGCCCAAGCTACGCCGAGTTCCTTCTTTCGGGCTTCATTCGATCGCGTCCTACCCTAGCTGCGCCGAGCTCCATCTTCTGCTCCAGTTTGCTCGTCTGCCCTAGCCGCTCCTCCCTACTCCCCCATTTGGTCAGATCCCTCTCTATCCGGCAAACACCTCTCCTGTTTTTTTCTTCGGTGGTTGTGTTGTAAACAAAAATCTTCTATAAGGAAAAAGATTTACTAACATCATTACAAAGCCAAATAGAGGTTTGTTTGCGCTCTGATTTTTTTTTAAGAACATTTTCAGTTTGTGTTGGTTTTAGTTTAATATTGGGGGCATTTACATACGTAGCAGACAATTTTTATGTATTTCTATATCTCACACTTAAACTCCCATATTTACATACAAAGCACTTAAATCTTTAATATCACATAAAAAAATATCACTATTACCACTTTTTAAAAGTTAAATATACTTTTTCATGCATAAGGTCAAAACACCGAAATGTTATGTTTGTAAATATAGAAGTTTAGGTGTGAGATATGTAAATACTTATGAATTGTGTGCTACAAATGTAAATTTCCCTTAATTTTTTAATAAATTTATGTTTCTGTATGTGAACTGAATTTTTTTTTCAAATTCTCTCCACCTGACTGCGAGTTGGAGCAATAATAGTGTAGGTGCTCACTTCCTGCATATACAACATACTCTATTTTGTTAATATGACTTGTTTCATAATCTTTTTGACTTTAATTACTTATAGTTAACATATTTGATTTCCCTGCTCTTCACATGGTGCATTGAATACATATTCTCGCTAGCCTTATGATGACCCTTAACCAAAATCTTAGAGGTTTCATTAGCTTGCTCTTTTTTGTTTAGCTTGCTACGTGTTTCTTTCTAATGGGAGTGCAAATACTTATCTTTGCAGACTATTTTTCAGCTTTTTAATGCTATTTTGTATTTTCGTAGGGCCTTCCTTGCTTATAAACTTGACCACGGAGTTTCTGAAGCTCCTTTCTTAGATTAGTCTATTTTCATCTCTAATAAATGTTACTGCAAGAATCCAATTTTGTTTCTTTATGCCACTATAATATATTGGTCTATTTTTAGCTTATATAGACCAGGGGCAAAATGTTTATTTATCCAGAAACAACAGCAAATCAGTTTTTTCTAAACGTACAAACCAAACAGACAAATAGCTTATCAAGATTAACTTCAGATACGCAGTTTGTCAACATAAGCTAGATAAGCTGCAGCTGCCCCAAACAGACCCATAATCTCTTAAAATTGACCATAAACTTTTTTCAAATATACTTTTAGGAATTCAAACTCCCAAGCCTTCACTTAGAGTTCCATAAAATTTCTCTGGAAACCTAAGTTGATGACTTAAAATATTAAGTAACTTGAACCGATGTTAAATGAAATTAGAATAAAAAAGGGGATGAAGAATCAATTAAAAGATGAATAAATAAAACTTAAAGTGAAAAAAGAGTAATGAAGCCGCTTGTTGATATTCAAGGAGTGCATTTCATCTCCGCAAAATGACGTGTCATTCTTTACTATGATTAGGGAGTTGTGAATAGCGGGATCCTCAGTCAGGTGAATGTCACCCTTCACAACACTATTTATAACATTAAGTAATAATTAAATTCAACCAAAATATTAAAATTGAATATAATTGCACAATATGTAAGTCATTTGAACTTCAAACACCTAATGGTAATCAGTTAAATTTCATCGTGAACTACAACTTTAACGTAAATGCCAGAATGACTGCCTACATACCACACTATTAAGCGACTTTGCTAGCTCACAAACCTAGATCTAGGTTAGGTTGATCGTATTGTGTGTTTCTTCCCTTCATTTCTTTATGAGCACCAATTGCATGCTTGAATTGGATGTAGATGATGCTATGTCTTTTACCGTTGTAGATGGACATTTAGGCCAATTAACATTTAAATAGACAACATGTTAGGAAAACATTTATCCTACTGATATGATTTTGACGTATGAGTGATGAATATGTTTAATATATTTTATTGCTAATATTTTTCTACAGATGCCATAATAAACATAGATTTTCAATTTTCCCTTGAGTCTAAGGGTAGATTGTCCTCATTGGCTGGCTGGAATGTTGGGTGTGTTTTAGACGGGGCTTGTTCAAAGAGGGAGCGTGAATAAATCCTAATAAGGTGACTCAATGAAGACGAACATCAAAGCAATGATAAAAATCAAGAGGACGAACCTCAACACAAACATGAACGTCAAGAGGGAGGATGAACCACAACAAGGCAACAAAGCTAAAGCACGATCCTCAACTTAATAGATCACGAATCAAAAGTCACCCAAAAAGCCAAGCCACCAGCAGGACAATAGTAGATCTAGGCAAGGCTATATGTGGAGCAGATGCTCGGCTGCCCCACTTACTTTGCATTTTTTTTTGTAGCGCTCAGCTGCCCTCTTTTTACTATTTATTGATTTGATTTGCTTTATGTAATTTCCTGCATGCCTGTATCCGCGTTAGAAATATATGTTTTTCCTAGGTTTCTTTCTGCGTTTAAGTGTCTAGTTAGGCTTGGCTTGGCTTTCTGGGTGTCTTGATGTAAGGTACTTATTTACCATTTCTTTTTGGGTATCTTTCTGGGTGATACATATTAGTTCATCAAATTTCATCTACTAAATTACAAATGACATACTAAATTACCCGTGATATACTAAATTCTACTATTATTATTATAAGCAGCAGGTAATAGTCTTTAGATGCTTATTAGCTAATTTAATGACTAGATTACCCGTAATATGTTAAATTGCTCGTTTTGGTAGGCATAATAGATTAAATTACCCGTTTTCGGATTAACTTTATCTTCAGATACTTATTAGTTCATCAAAATTTGTTGGTCGGCATAATAGTCCCATTTGTGAAGGATGGTTAAGGTTGATGGTGCTTGTGAAATTTTATGATCATAAATAGTTCATAAGGCTCACAAAAAGTATAATGCAGAATGTAAATTAAGCTGAATGTTTCCACAAATGTCCAAAAAGATCAATCAATATATTTATCTTCTGAACAAAGCTTGGTGATCAGTGTAAATAATAAACACATTTCTGCACCTCAGTGTAAATATTGGCAAACTATGTGCCATCCAATTTGAAATTGGATAATTATGGCACTAATAATCATTCTTAAATAGTACTAAGATGCTGAACAACAGGCATTTAATGTAAATTTGTGTATGGGATAACTGCAGGAGTAATGAAAATGGGCAGATTTCTGGTATTACATGAAAGCATATAACCACAGAATAACGGTAAGTTCATCAAAAGGTTGAGTGTGAGGAAGTGTGCCAAAACTTGTCTCTGGGACATAACTATGCAGCATTTTAAAGAAAGTTGGTTATGACATCCTACGAAACTAAAGAAAAAAAAAATACACTCATGTTGCTATAAAGGGTATCTAACCAAAAAAAAAAAGATCTTATTTTTCTGTCCTTATAATTAAGGTTAAATCTTGGCAGCGTTAATGATTCCTCTTTTATTCTATCAGTACACTTGCATAAACTTATTTTGACATAAAAGCAATAAAATTCTGCGGTCAGCAAAGCTTACCACTAATATCTAAAATTGCTGTTAGGCTGCAAGCAAAGAATCAAAGAAACAGAAAAATTTCACAATGCAGAAAAACTACAAAATTTCCAACCTGAATTCCTTCTGAATACTCTTGCTCTTCAGCAGATGTGAGAAGCTTTGCTGAGCTTGTTGTACCTCTAAGGTAATGTAAAGGATCAGAATAATCAATCTCCTGCAATGCACCACGCTTTTTCTTTCCAGATGATCCTGACCTAACAGAAGCAAGTGGAATGTTAGCCTCTGCAGCCACTTTAGCTCTTTTTGCCCTTCTCTCTACTTGACGTTTAGATCGCACAGCTATGTTTTGCATGAAATCGAGCTCATTTGTCATTAAATCAGAAATGTTCAAATCTTGAGATGAACTTTTTGAAATATACCCTCAGCAGAACAATAATTCTGCCAGATTTGCTCCATTTTAACGACCTCATCCCTAAATTTTTCATCACCAGCTGCATAATCTTTTGATCTGTCCGATTCCAAACATGGGTCACCATCCAATAACTGCGCAGCTTCTTTGGCAGCTTCAACTGCTGCTTTTGCAAGAGCAATTGCCTCGGAAGAAGCTGCAGCTATTACAGCCTCTTGGCTTGTAAGAAATGCTTCTCTAGGCAAGGTCTCTGTAATTTCTCCCTGAAGCGAAAATACAACATAAAAAAGTAAATATATAAGGAGGTTTGAGCCTAATAATCAGATGTAAATTATTTAATTGCCGAGTGTTTCTTTCTCAGGTTATAGCTCATTGACCAAGATAGTCTTGATCATTTTTACCTTAATAAATGTATGCTTAAAAGTAAGACAATAAGAGATTATCTCACAGAACAGAAGTATTGCCCTTACACAACATAGTTAGTTGAGAATCAAATGGAATGAAAGAATATTATTGACTAAATATTACACAATGCTTGTCATTTGTTCATTTAAAAATGTTTTGGGCTAAATATTATATCAACATTGTTAGATACTTTAACCCTCTTTTCTCAAACCCTACAATGACTTTATTAGGTTGAGGTCCATTCATCAAAAGAAAAAACAAAAATTTTGCATTTTAAACAAAATGTTATTCACATGATTAAACTGTAAGGAAAAGTTAACAATTTAATGAACGATCTCCATGAAGATTAACATTTTAACTAAGGATTATCTTGTGAATAAAAAAGACATTAGGAACCTAAATATAGAAGTGGACCAAAGTGAAACAACCCTTACAACTCTGGCGAACTGAGTACAATTTACCCCAAAAAAATGTATTGCAAATTAAGTTTGTAAGACAGCTCAAATATAAATTTACATGTTGAATCTAATAAATTAGACATTACCTTATAATTAATATAACCTGAATAAACTTTTGACCTAAACAACATCATCTATATTTCATAACCAAAACAAAAATAGAATTGCAATGTAATTCACAAAATTTGCAATTTCAAATGTGCCGGGAATGCTTAGTAATACATGTAATCTGCCCTCACCTTTCCAGGTGGACCAACAACCCCTATATATGTCAAGGGTTTTGTAGATGCTAATGACTTCAATTGAGCTTCCAGAGCAGATAGATGGAGCTTTTCAATTACCGCCATTCTTTGGGATGAAGAACAGCGTGTCTTGAAATGAATATGGACCCTAGCATTCACTGCGCATGTAAAAATTAGAAATTACCATAACCATCCATAGAGTTTAATAAGAATTTAAAAGAGTTTCTTGCAGTGAGGCGAGCAGAAAGTCTGAGATGATAATAAAAAATATATGCTTGGATATATTTGCAAGAATTAGAAAATCATTTCATTTTGGATTTTATTTTATATTTTAGATTGAACTTTTGAAGTTTAATTTTTTTTATTTTTGTTTGAGCTCCATCCCCCGGCATAGGATACAATAATAATGAAAACAATTTAATAACTGAAATGAAGAATTCAAATAATAGAGTTCTAAATGTACAAAGAGAAGATTTCATAAGGGATATGACATCAGGGAAATGGATAACTTATGAAACTATTTGGCCCTTTAGAGTGGTAACTGCAAATGTGAAATATATCAAATCATAGGAGTAGCCATTCATTGAGGTTGCCATAACTTTTGGATTATTGATTTATTGCAACAAACATTTGCCCACAAAACCATCTTGTAACTTGTAACAAATATTTCAAAAAACTGGCTGCAATTATAACATGGTATTCCATAAGATAAATATATGATATCTCACACAATATAAATTTATGGCTAACACATATTCTTGGCAGATTGAAAATGTTCTATCACTAACATTCGATTTAACTTTGTGAAAAGAATTGATGATTTAATACTGTTTTAAATCACCAATTATTTTTATCAGTTAAATCCGAGCAAATCAGGTTGATAAAACAATGGGCATGGCCCTCTTCTCTCAATATAAAGCTAAAGCTATATGACAAAAGAAGACTTCATAAAAGGATTCCAGCTTTAGGTTAAACTCTCAACCCACATGAGAAAAAGTCCATCCAGGTATACTTAACAGCAACAAGTTATACTCTGTTTTTGTGGATGACAGGTTCGTTGAGGTGACATTAGCCAGACAAAGACAGAAAAATTGTCTTCATTTCATGACTAGAGCAAATTCTGCAATGGCCAATAAAGTAAGCAAAAAGCTAGGAATGCCTTTAGGCAAAACTCAATCTGATAAATAGATTAAGGAAGATTTACATACGTACCACTCAATTTCTACTTATTTACATATCTAACACCTTAACATTAATTTTTACATGCATACCACCTTACCTATGCATGAAAGGGTGTATTTTCCTTTTTAAAAATTAAAATAGTGGTATTTTTATGTGATCTGAATGTAAAAAGTAAAGTTTAGTTATTAGATACGTAAATAAATAGGAATTGGGTAGCATGTATGTAAATGCCTCATAAATTAAAATATCCATAGACCAATTTCAATAATCCATATGATGTCCTCGTAAAAACAACTAAGATTTTTTTAATATAGGGTAATCCTAACCCTTAAAATTGCCGGAAAAGCCTATTAATAATTATAAGAGTTTAATAAAGTTGTTTGCCAAAGACAAGGAAACAGGAAAATTTGCTGAAAGAGAAATAAGGATACCACAAATATGATTTATGAAGTAAATCAACAACTATCTCTAAATGAAGTTCATTTTAAAAATTACAATAAAATTGAGGTTAAGAACTGTCGGCACTAAAAAGTAAGAAAGAAAGGTTGTTTGGGGGGTCGCCCGTAAGAAGTTGTCGGCAGCCGGAATTGAAATCCCATCGCCCGCTTCGGAGGGACGTTTTAATTTACGTGTATATATATATATATATATATATATGACTTTAGAAAAATATGAAATCAAACTGACCTCATATTTTTCACAGTTTAAATGAAAGAGCGCTCTACCTCAAATTCTGTATCTATCCCGAGGGATAAACACAAGACTTGAGGATGAGGCTCAATCAAATAAACTAGGAAAACATATGACATCCGTTTGGGTCTGCGAAACCGTTTTATTTGCCGACAAGTTCCCC